TAAATAAAGTTGCCTGAATTAGTTACAAAAGTAAACACGGAGTCCCATGGTGAAAATAACTGTCAGTTTTGACCTGAAACTGTCATCATGAACTGTTCACAGAAAATGAAATTTGATTCACAAGGTAGCTCTTTAATGCGTGACGTGGGTCGCTCCAAACACTTTCGTCTCAGATTCAAGTCCGCGAACTGGTATCTTGATTAGGTCGAGCATGCGCTCGCATCGATAAGCTGTTCGCTGTCAGCAGGAAGAGAACCCAACCTTCAGGTTTGGTCTATCAGGGGGAAAACTAGGAGAACTTTTTGAGGAATCAAGTACCGGTTTTTTGAATTGTTTTTAGACATGTGTGAATCACCTTTCGCCTCGGTAAACCATTTAATTAGCATTTCAAAGCTTTGTTCTGGAATATTTCTATTTCCTATTCCGACCTTCGTCTGACTATTTTTTCCTGCTTTCCGTGTAGGACCTTCTTTGTTATACGTACTGTAATGCGCTAAAATATTTGTGATGCAACATTTATTGCGAAATCCAATAAATTAAGTAGGTGAGCATTGTCGCTCCTTCTAGGCTCAATAGCCAGGTGGAGTGCGAGGAGTGGGGCAGTGGAAGCAATCTCCATCGGCTCCCTTTGATCCAAGTCCTCCGGGGCCACCGTTCTCTCCCTTGCGACCTGAACGGCCCTTCTTTCCTTGGTCTCCAGGTGGTCCCTGGGGTCCGGGAATGACGGCTCCGACACGTCCCTTAGGTCCACGTTCACCCTTACGGCCCTTAGGACCAGGAGGTCCAGGTGGTCCTGGTGGTCCGTTGACGTTGATGACATGTCCATCTTCTCCCTTCTTTCCTTTTGGTCCAGGAACTCCGGGCTCTCCTCCGGGTCCGGCTGGTCCAACCATACCGGGCTCTCCACGACGTCCATCAATTCCAGAAAGTCCAGGGGTTCCACGAGGTCCTTGTGGTCCCTTGGCACCAGCGTTTCCTGGGGGTCCAGGTGGTCCAGGTGGGCAGATGACGCATGGCTCGGACTGGAGTCCATCGGAGCCCTCAATTCCACCATCACGTCCATCCTTAGCATCATCTCCTTGGGCACCATCGTTTCCATCCTTTCCATCATCTCCAGGAGGCCCAGCGGGTCCGACGGGTCCTGAAAATGATTGCATAGAGCTAATGATCGATTATTTCGAGGCAATAATTATTCTCACCCTGCTGGCAAGTGCAGCATTGTGGCTCGGGTTCGGCGTTGACAACAGGGCCGTAACCGTTGCTTGGTGGGGGAGCTGGAGCGTATTGCTGAAAAGGTGCAAGGATACACTCGTACAGAGACATCACAGATAGTGTCTAATTTTGATTCGAGACAGCAACCAACCTCAGGAGCACCGCCATATTCAGCGCCACCGCCAGCTCCACCATCAGGTACCCATTGTCCGAACAACCATCCTCTCTTAGCACGGCCTTTAGGAGCCATCTGGTACATGCTGACGAGCATGTCACGAGAACGCATCTGGAAACTATAAGTATGATGTGCAATACTTCCAAGAGAAGAGTTCTAACTCACTCGGCAGAAGTCAGTTTCGGCGTTGACCTGACTTTGGAGGGTCTGCACGTAGCTGTACAGCATAGGAGTGGTGATCGCTGAGGCGATCACTGCCGCCGTCGAAACAGCGACCGCGACGAACGCGATCGAGCGCATGCTGAAAAATATTACATAATAGTTACTTGGCTTGTTAGTACAGGGGTTTCGAGGTCTGTTAATAATAGGGATGTAGGCAATAAATGATACTGTAGTTATGTTGTGCTATAAGCATGAAATCAAAGGGATGAACTGCGTTTTTGGCGTGGGCTTGGAGGGTTTGCAGTGAGTGCTGTTACTCTTGGCACGATGCAGAGTGTCCCAGGAGTGTTGAACTATGCCCTTTTACAGCCAGTATGTAGAAAACCCTTCTTGCTGGCGGACATAGAAGCCCATCTTACAGAGTTTGCCGTGTATTCAGGGCGTAAATCAATGTTGAATGATAGGTAATCATATTTTACGGCGATTATATGTGAAGGAAACGTACCGCTTGTTGTCCTCCTTGGCCTCCATAGCGAAGCAGGATGAGATGGCAGTCGGTGATCGCCCTTATATATGCGATATGGGAGGGCATTGTCCTTGGGATATGGGTCGGGAGCGGCCCGGTCACTTTACGCACGTAACGATAAGGGATATGCAAAATCATGGCCGAGTGTACTGTAGATGAGATGAGGTGGATAACGAGAGAGCGAGAAGAGTGGCGTTCATCAGGTGGATACTGGATTTGAGCGTATCCCGCAAAAGAGATATTTCTCTCAATATTCAAAGCCATGCATATTTTTCCTGGCGTTGAGTCAGTTCAGCATCAGGTTGAATGTTGATTTGACTCCATTATCATTTTTCAAAAAATGGTACTGAGAAAGCGGTGAAATTATATATATAACATTTCTGGTTGAGGATAAACCACTTCAAAATCCTTGATACCTTGGAAATCTAAGTAGCAACCACAATTTGAACAGAAAATTCGAAAAAGATGTCAGCGTGTATTAGACTGTTTTCTACGCAGAGAAAAACTTCACAATCTCTTTCTTTGCCATAAATCATGGCTCGTTGAGGAGAGTGTTGATGCTGGTTCTAGCGCAGGTCTTTGTGAGTGGACTTGAAAAGATTTGAAAAAAAATCGTAAAGCCTATAATTTCAAAACCGAATGCTCTTATCAGACTTTTTAATTTTTTTTCGCAGTCCCAGAATCTGTCAGAATTATAGACCCAATTGTTCGCCAACATTTCTATATAACTCCGGGTCGTCCTCTGACTCGCGTTTAGCTAATGAGCAGACAACTTCTTTCATGGTTGCACGTTACCTGTCATAAAATGATTTGAAGGCAGTGATCACGATAGATTCGAGAAGGATTTATAGGAGACTGGTGGTGCTCAGTGGTACGCCAGTAGCGAGAAAACGGACCCCCTTTTTGGCCGTTGGTTTTCACTCATGAACAGGTAACAGCTCAGAAAGCGGACGTATGAACGAGTTCATCGCAACGCGTTTGGTGACAGCATGCCAAACCATGCTCCATCGAGTTGCTTCAGTTGTGCCGCTGCTGGCAACGCAGCTCGTCCAAATCACCAACTAAACTAGTGGGCGGATCGCTTTTGGGGGCGGAGTGCTTTCGAAGTCCTGCTCAGCAACCAGCGCACCTTTCGTCGTGAAAGCGCTACACCTCGCTTCCCTGGCAGCCAAGTAACTGATTCGTGTGGTGCATATGCTTCCCGATGCGCTCCCACTTTATCGTAATCGCTGCCTTAACCGGAACAAATTACAACTACTGCCAAGACCGTAGCTTCGAGATGTCTTTTCGCTTTGGGAACTACCATTTCGCAAACTAAACGCTGAACAATGACCTATGTAACGGCTTGTTCTACTGACTGGTCCAGAAAGGAATCACCTTATCGTGTGAAGAACTGATTTGAAGAAGAAAGCGTTAGGTCTCTGCTCGTGCGCAACTCGATTTTTAAATGGGTTCACATCTCCCAAAAGAGTGCTACCCAATTGCGGTGGTACATACAATATTTTCACCATTAGTAGTCAAAGGGTCGGCTCCTGATCGCTCCTCAAAACTTTCTACCGCTTTTCAATTGCAGCTGGAATTGTCTTTTCCGACTCTGCGTCGGATAGTCGGGCTTTGGCTACAAACGTGTTGTAGCATTTCTTGAGGCATCCTAGTAATACTTATTAGCAGATGTAAAATCTGCTGTCTTAAATTAGTTTCTGTCATCACCTTGCAAAGCAAGGACGCTATTCTCCGAACGGCTCTTCAAATATATACGCATTTTTATAAACACATATTTGTTACATATTTTGCATTTCCATTGTGCAGCACTCTGACGTCCGTGGCCTCCTTATCCACCACGCGATCAGCGATCTCCGGGGAAGGGTCACAAATCCCGATACAACGGATAAGCCGACCCTCACATTAAACAAGCGTATTTCTATACGTAACACACCGAAAGGACATTATGCTATTCTTTAGGCATTTCTTTCAACTCCGGTTTCATACATATGTAGACTGGAGTTGAGTTTCACAAAACGAATCATAGACGACTGTATAGCATAATAGGCGGAATGGGCTTGGTTCGCAAGTTGTATTGACCTTCAATTTTTGGGTTTTCATATAGGGTCAATGAGTAACTACATATTTATTGCATACCGTCCGTTTTCGGAATTTCCGTCTATTTACTAAGAACTGTGAAATGCAGTGTGTTCTTAAAAACTGCTGAAATATTAAGATTCATGGAATTTCCTGGAATATGAAAGAAAGACTACTGAAACAACCTACGGCAAATATGGAAAGAATTGCTACAAAAGCTACAAAACCTTCACATTTCATCGCTGAGCGGTCAAAAATGATTCACAGCTTGTAAGAACCAGAAGGCTGTGTTTTACCGTCATGGCAGAGCCTGGATTTATAATTTCATATTGTTATGGGCGGAAGTGGTGTAGTGACAAGTGGCACGCTTACCACGCGAGCGGTCCGGGGATCAAATCCTGGGTCGTGAGTCGCCCGGGCCAACCAAGCCTTCCATCCCTCCGGGGTCGGTTAATTGGTACCAGACTTGTCTGGGAGGATAAAAACACTGACTTGAACATCGGCTGGCCCCCGCAAGTCATTGTATAGGCCACATCGCATTCAAACGCCACTACGAATGTACAAATGGAAGTAGAATGCGTGCCGCATCCCAAAAGGGATTGATCAACGGCAAATGCTTATCCTTTTTATATCTAGTTCAGCCACACAGATTTTGTGAAACCGCAGTCGAGCACACGAACCTTAGATCTTCTGCATTGGTTCAATGTTCAGATTCGAGCTGAGAAGGCGTACAGTAATAGCACTGAATTGCGCATCGCTGATAGCGGATCCCAGAACAAGATTCGCCAGATCTTTATCTTTCAGCCTGTTAATGACATCACAATAGACATTTCCTTGAACACATAAAAGTATGAAAATCACTAGTAAATCACACACAGATTCCCGCTCAATTGGCCAATTAGTTATCCTGAGCGGTTAATCGTCCAGTGATGGGTGAGAGAACTGAGATAAGTCTAACCCAGAGTCAACCGTCTGTTAGGATTTTCCAAACTAAAAGGAAAGGTGTCGTATTTTGTGGTTCTAGAAATTCTAGAGAGATGGGTCGTATTTGAAGAAAAAGGGTCGCATGCATGAAAAAGATGATTTTTAGCAGTTTGGAAACTTTTTAATTTTCAAAAATCCTGCTCCGACAGTTGTATGTAAGGATATCCAACCAGTGCTTGGCAAATCAAGAGGATCTTGACAAGAAGAGTTCTCAGTGTGGAAAGGTGGACAAGGTTTGATGACGTTTGTGCATCTCTGCTCGTTGGAGGGGGAATGTGTGGAGGACCCCTTCAGAAGGAGGGGATTGTCCAACTTTGCACTTTTTGCCCAACGCACGGCTGACTCTGGTCTAGAACATGACCAAGGTCATGAATATGGAACAGGTGATTGGGGAAAACATTTCATTCGCAGTGTGATTTCATGGTTTTTCGCCCATCTCCGTATTCGTTGATGACACAAAATCTGCTTGAGGATGATTTCCACGGTCGAGCAGCTGCAGAACCTCTGACATTTGCTCGCTGCAAATTCTAAACTTGTCAAGAAGT